CCAACCTTATGCTGCTTGGATCCATGCTTTGTTTAAATTCTGCAAGCAACTACTTCAGAATTCCAGTGAGTATCTATCTCTTCCTGGGGGTAATCTTAAAAAAGTAAGGAAAATTAAATGAACCATATCCCCCATCACTATAGCAGGCTTAGCCTAAAATTGATACTAATAATAACTCTTAGATGATCTCTATTCTAAATTCCTCTCACCCTAAGCTGGTATGCTGCCAATCCCTTTGATTTGTCTAGCAGTATAATCTCAATCTTTATTCCAAAATCTTCTTGCCTTCTCATCTTGAAACAAGATGTCAGCCATAGATTATTGTTCAACTGAATTCTGGCTATGTCCCTTGGTGGAAATATTCTCATTTKAAAAACAACACTCTAAAACCTCTGAGCCTAGAGTTGCTGAGATCAAAATTCCCCCAGTGGATCACTGAGAATGATAGCAGCTAAAGCCAATACTATGTCTACTCTTGATCTTACTCATGTAGTCAGCTTGTTGGGGACCATATAAAACTCAAAAGTATTACCTTAAACAGGTTTTTCCTTCAACAGCCTGTGGCATTTTCCATCATGCTGCTTCTAGTAGTGTAGTGTGGGATATAAGCAGGGAATCCTATAGTAACATGTATTCTTCTGTACCTATTTTGATATATAGACACATGCTATTACATGCTGTTAAAGCAAACATTTTATAAGACTTAAGGTACTGACACAACTAAGCCCCTATAGACTGGAATAGTAAACCCATGRCAATATTATTTATACACACACAAAGTCAATGCTGGTGAGGATTGATGACTCAAGAGATGGCATCATACTGGAAACTCAGCATTGGTGTCTATTAAAGGCAGACTGAGTGTTCAGGAACAGCAGTTGGTACTTCAGCCATGGTAAGTTGGAGCCCATGTAGTCAGGCCTGTGCCTACCAACCTCCATCCTGGCTATAATCACAAATTCACTTGTGTACCCCTTGTACCTTCACTGTGAGGGAAGACCCCAATGACAGAGGATAACTGTTGTTAACTAGACAAGATTTTGATCTATCTGGTTATTTAGTGTCTTTTCTCTGTTAGATGCTTTCTGATGGGTGTTATCCAAAGATCTTCCTATTTCTTGTTCACTCCCATAGACCTCTTATATATCTCTATCTTGGACTTCCTTGTCCCCAATCTACCATTTTTTTTTCTGTTTAATGTCCCTGGCCAGCTACCCAAGCTATTCACCTTTGATCCAGAGATCACGTATATTTTAAACTTGAGCTATTTCTCTTGCTACACAAGTAGATGACCAGGAACACCTCTGAAAGACCTTCCCCTTAGAAAGATATTCTATGCCTACCGAAAGTAATTCTTCCCATGACCTGGCTCTGCTMAACTCTATAAAACCCGACCTTCATGATGACCCCCTGCCATTCCCCCACCCACAAAGATGTGCTGAATAAAGCATTGCTGGTCCATGAGTTCTCCCTCCATTTTCGTTTTCTTTTGGTGTTTTCCTTGATGTGCTTTCAACCCATGTAGACATGAGCTGAGGGAGAGATCAGTAGTGGCTGCCATGCAGTTTGCTTGAGCTCAATCTTAAATGTACTATCGTCATCTTATGAAGGATAGTTGCTAACTTGCCTGCCTTTATAACAATGGTTGATTTGACAAAATCCAGTGTCTGAAGGATAATTGTAGTCAGTGTTATTTGATACCTCCAATGCTAAGCACACCATCTGTTCCAAGACTTTGTAGCAAGGCCAGGAGCTGTTTTAAAAAGGTATGTAATTTTCTGTTGCATTGTCTGTCATTCTCCCAAAACTTTACAAGTCTGCATTGTGACTCTCTCCTTGGAACTTTCCATAAACTCCACACATCCGTAGATTACATATTGTGTTATTTCTCATTATTGATATATTATGGCACTACCACTCATATGTAGAAAAATCAACTGTAATTTTTCTGAGTTTATGTTATTATAGTATCTTAAACATAAATGTGCGATTTTTATTTTCCTTTTTAATCTCCTTATTCAAACTTTTCCGAAATTAACCTGATTTATGGGAAAGTAGAGGAAGTTAAAAAGCAAACAGAATCATTAAAGATAATAGAATACAGATTAGAGGAGGGAATATTTACTTACTTCTGAGGATGTTATAAAGTGAATAATGACCCCCCAAAAAAGGTATTCACATTCTAATCCTTAAGCTGATGAATTTACCATATATTAAACAAACAAAAGAATATTTTGGGGCTGGGTTGTGGCTCAGTGGTAGAGCGCTTGCCTAGCACATGCAAGGCCCTGGGTTCGATCCTCAGCACCACATAAAAATAAAGAAAGAAAGAAAGAAAGAAACACCAATTTTTTTAAAAAAAGAATATTTTGCAGATGTAATTAAGGGTTTAGATGAGCAGTAAGTGCAGTTATATGTGTTTTTATAGGATAGAGAAGAAAAACTACACATACCCAAAAGTAGAAAAGGCAATAATGTGACTATAGAGACAGAGACAGAAATGATACACCACAAGCTAAAGGAATATCAGCAGTCTCCAAATGCTGGCAGAAGCTGAAAGAGATAAGCAATAGATTCTTCCCTGAGCTTCTGCAGAGAACATGGTCCCACCAACACCTGGATTTTGACCTAGTAAAAATTATTTCATATTTCTAGCCTTTAGAGCTACAACAGAATAAACTTCTATTGTTTTCAGCCACCAATGTTGTGGTAATTTGTTACAGGAAATAAACAGAAATAGAAACAATAAAGAAAAGTGTTATGGGGTGTGTAGAGTTGAAAACTAGTACATAAACTTACCTATATGGTGATTGTAAAAAYAAATAAGGGTAGAGAAGATGAGTATTACAGAAGAAGAATAAAGGTAGCAGGAAAAAAATTTTAAGGAAGTTATACAAGGGGAAAAAAACAGTTCACTTAGATAAGAATATGCACTACTTCAAAGGTAACGATACAACTTGCTAAAGATCTTGAATGGCAGCCTAAGAAGTTTGAACTTTACTATGTAGACAGTCCTCTGTTGCCTGTAAGGTCTGGGTRTGTATGCGTGTGATTACAATGGAGAGATCTGGAGGAAATAACGAAAGTACTTTGGGCTTCTGTCACATACTCTGTATTTATTTATCTCCTTCTACCATAGGTGGAAATGATAGTTTCCCCAGAACCTAGCAAAATATCTGACATACATCTTTGATAAATGGTAAAAAAAAAAAAAAAAAAGTGAATGAAGAACGCTGTGTATTTATTGTTTTAGTCTTACTAAGCATCGTATTTTGGAGCAGAAAAGAATACCAGACTGAACTTGAATCCCTTTTATTCCTAAATGCCCTGATTATTAAAATGATTTTACTATAAAAAATTAGTGAAAGTTTAATTTGGGATCCAATGTGATTATCCATAGGGTATATTCAAGAACTAGATCGCAATTCTAGCCAAATCTATTCAATTAGTGGTAGCTGTCTGTAAGGATTGTGCCATAACAGACTAGCAATGTTTGCTAAAGGGCTGTATTGAAGAGTTCACCCAAATGATTTGTGCTTGCTATTCCATTCTTGCTCCAGAAATTAGTTACTTGGTTTCTTTAAAAAGTTTTAATTTTTACATATTCTTATGTGAAGTACAGAAAGAGCATTTCCATTTAAATGKAGATGTCCATTAGTTGAGCATAGTTAATCAAAGAATGCTACATTAAAGTAAAAAGAAGTCAAAGGTTGGGGCAGAGAAGACAGAARGCTGATCTTATTTTTCCATTCTATGATTTTATAGTACCAACTATCTTAGCTGGAAAGGCAGGACAGATTGTAGTCTGTACCTGTCTCCAAAATCTAGCCCCTGTTTTACGAATGGACCAACTCTTTGTATGGAGCAACATACTCAAAATGGGTCTGAAAGGAAAATCAACACATTGATCTGTGAAAACGTAGAGGGGAAAATGGAACTTTCGAAATAAYTATTTCGAAATAGTTATCAACGTTTACACTGAAAGTTTTGAGTAAGGACCCAGAAAGAGGTGAAACATCAGTAACTAGAAATGAGGTCAAGGCTGAAGTGGACCACAATCCTGTATGACAATATATAGCACTCACACTTTAGGTACCAAAATATGTGCTTGTTAAATGTTTAAAGTGTAGTTCGTGAAACAAAACACAAATGCAAATAGTATCATTCAAGCTTTATTGTTATCCAGTTGCTGCTGTTGTGGYGACGTTATGGTAGAGTAAACATTCGCGTGGGTGCAAGATGTTTACAGTCCTAAACCGGATGGAGAGGAGTTGCAGACCCAGGGTGGGTAGCTCTCCTAAAGACCTTAAATCGCTCCCGGACCTTGAAAGTGCTACCAGCACAGGTCCACCTGAAAAGGACTAAATGCATACCACTTTTTTTCTGTAAACGGATGCAGAATAACGCAAAGGAGCCAGGCTTCCACGTGTTACTTAACCCCGCCCAAACAATCTCAGTGATTCCGAATCCTCTAGCGTCAACCAAAGCCAGGTACTGATCAAGTGCCACCGAGCTCTCTTTAACCTTATCTTCACGTGCCTAGAGCAGGCGTGGTTAGGAATGGAGGGACTGCGTAACTACTGTCGTTTTTATCATTATCTACTTTGGATGCCTAGAATCTAGATCAGGGTCTTTTCCCCGGCTTCCACTGTCAAAAGTCATTTTACAAAAAGTAGAAGTTGCAATTTGGGGACAAAAATTGCTCCTCTCTCTGTTACCAGACTTACTCTCTGAGCCTGCGCATCAAGTCTTGACAGATATAAAAAATAAAAYGGTATATTTTAGAGAACATTTACAGTCTGACAACTGAGTCACATGACAGAGTCACGTAAAGATAGAATTTTCTATGTTCCATATGTTGGGCTTCATAAGACATAGAAGATGGTTCGTTTTCCCATGCAAGTGAAAATATCATTTTTATCTAGTAACAGGACCTGTAGTGACGCGGCGCATGCGCACGGCGGTGGCTACAACTCACGCGAGATTACCCAGCAGCTTTGCGCGGTCCGGCTGTCTTGGGAGAGGTTTCTGGGKCTTGCCGCCATGGGGAAGGTGAATGTGGCTAAGTTGCGTTACATGAGCCGGGATGACTTCAGGGTCTTGACCGCGGTAAGAAACGCCTTTCACCTTCTCCCTTGTCTCTCCACAACATGCGTCCTTCTTCCTGTTTCTTTAGGTTTGTTGGGAACTGAGTGGGCGCCCTCGGGTCCCTGGGACTTAGCAGAGACTGGGTAGGGGGAACAGAGTACCATGGAGTCGGACTTTTAAAAAAGCTTTTCTTGGGCTGGGGATGTGGCTAAAGCAGTAACGCACTCGCCTGCTTTTCTTAAGGTGCTTATCTTTCGCTAAATAGAGCAGAAGCCCCCCTCTTCTAATTTTTTCTTTCCTGTCCCCTTCTTGAGCTCGAGACACTTGCATCTCTGGCTTGGGAAACTTTTCTGATTGTTGGCATCCGACCCAGCTGAGAAAGGTTTAAGTCCTCTCCTGAAAGGATTCGTTAGACTTAGAGCATTGTCTTTCCCACTCACAGACTCAGTCACAAAGCGTTCCTTATAGTTAATTCAGAAAACATTTGTCAAGTTTTTAGTAGCAATTTTAGGGTACAAAACAGACAAGAACGGAAGGATATACTCTTCATCATCAAGTAAATGAATAAATAAGCTAGATAACATCAGATAATAAATACTATGAAGATGACAAAGGATAACAAAATGCAGCTGGTGGAAGCTGGGGGCAAGTACAATCTGAAATGTTTTCAGGAAAGACAACTTGAATACAAGAATCTGTAACCGACGTCTATAAGGGTTTTTGTTCAAATTCGGCCTTTGGTAGGCATTGAACAGAGTAGTGTGGCAGAAGCCACTGAATGTTTTTTAATCAGAGTGATAAAATGTGATTTTATTATTAGTCTTATGACACAAAGATCAATACATAGATCTCGGCATTTGCAGAATAAATTAGTGTATTGATTTAAGATCCATTATCTTTTGGTAAGGAATAAGCACCATGATAAGGGGTTCTATATTGTTGTAATTATGTATTAGAATGTGATGTGACTCACTGATTCTTGTATTATTTTAAGGCTTCATGTTTTGGGTTTTTGAAATTAGTCTTAAATAAGCAATACTTAAGGATTAGACTATCCAATGCAAGATCAGTATGAAAGTTGGGAGGCACCTTCCTTTCTCATGTAGATTCTTCAATTCCTCTGGGCTTTCTTTAAATACCTACTGTCACCTCTGAAAGATACCTTCTTTCTGCTTCTTCAGAACACATACTCATTTCTCAGTGCCTCTGACAGAAATAAGGGAGTCAAAGAAAGAGTGTTGGATGCTAGCAGCAGCAGGGACAAAGCATGGGAAAAGAGTAAAGTTTAAGTATGACTTTTTGTGGGTTACTGAAATTATGCCAGATTTATTTAGGTCTGCAGTATTTAAATTATTTTTTTAATCTCACCAAAGAGACCTAGTCATTAAGGTAACATCTCAATCTCAGTTGAATCTTATCAGTGTTGTTACCTTTCCTTGACCTCCCCTTCCCCTTAATGTCTTTGGTTCCTTCTGTATCAATTATGATTGTTTAACTCACCTTAACTTTCAGTATAAATTTTCCCCMAAATTCTGTCCCATAGTCCTCCTTTTTTATCCATTTATATCTTGCTGGTGATTGCATCCACCTCACAGGTTCATTTTTCATCTCTGGCGAATTTAAATAATATTTCCCTCAATTTAAGACTTCATTCCTAAGAATAGACCCTTAGTTTTCCTTTAAACATCTTCATTTGACTGTTCAAGGCAGTTTCATCAACTGTCTTCCTCCTTTCTTTAACTCCACCAAAAATATATCTAATTTTAAAGCTTTCTCTGTCTTCATTTCCAACTTCGATTCTTCATTCCTTTTACCTTCTCATCCATTTGCCAAGCTATGCCATAATGCCATACTATTTCCTAAAGGTCTTCCATTTCTTCCTTTCATTATCACTGCCATTTAACCTGTTCTGGTTGCTATTTCCTCTGAGCTGGAAAGCTATCTTAATTCTCCAGTCTACTTCCTCCAGTTTTTGCCCTCTAAACTACTTGCATATTCCTGCTAATTAAGGTCCCCAAAATAACTGTTCATGTATTTCCTGCACCTAACCATTTTCAAGAGTTTCCTGCTTTCCTCAGTATAAAATATAAAACTCTAGGGTAAAATGTTTTCTCTCATATGAGGAAGCTAGAGACAAAAGAAGGAATGAAAAAAAGCTGGGGGTGGGGAATTTGTGAAAATAGGAGATAGTAGAGTAGAAAGTGGGGACAGGAAGAGGGAGGAGGGGAGAGAAAAGGAAAGTTAATTATATTATGCTATATGCATGTATGAGTATATCACAATGCATCCCAATTGTTTATGTAACTATACTGCTCTGAAGAATTAATAGAAGACCAATAGAGGAAAGCGAGTGGGGGAGGGAAATAGAATTACTGGGAATTGAATGGAGAAAATTATTATATGCTTTTATGAATATGTCAAAATGAGCCCCACTATTATGTGTAATTATAATGCACATATTACATATATGTTTGTGTGTATGCGTATATATGTTCTGTTCTTTTCTCCTCCTCCTCCCCTCCCCCCCACCTCCTTCTCTTCCTCCTCTTCCTCTCTTTTGGTCTACATTTCAGGGCCCTCTGTATTTTAGCATTTTCTAGCCTTATTTGCATGAACTCTACAATTCATTGTACAAGCTTTGTTTATTTCTGCTATCCTGCTGTCTGCTTTCTCTTATGCCCTCAAAGTCAATTTCAAGTATTCCTTCCTTAAAAGTGATCCCTCAGCTAGAACTATTCTCAGTCTGCCCCAAGCTACTTCTTTTGAGTCTCCAGGGGTAAATAGTACTTTTATATTCCTTTTATTYTCTATGTTGCCTAATACAATGCCTACATCTTATGCTATACTACTACAAGTATTTTGGTATTTGCCATGTGTCATTAACTTTGTCCAGCACTCACAATTCCTGTCCATAAAGCAAAGTACAGTAAAAGTGAATATCAGTGATTACTGTGTATGTCAAGTTGTAATTGAAAATATTAAGAAAAGAGAATAATAATGTAGAATTACAGTTATGTGATACATGACAACATTCAGTCAACCATAGACCACTTGTATGCTATCCCATAAGATTATATCACCTATTGACATCAAAACTGTCTTTGTGAAAGTATGTTCTATCATGTTTGCACAAGGAGAAAATTGCCTAATCAGACATTTCTCAGAATGTATGCTTATTATTAAACTATGTGACACCTAACTGTAGCTGGAGAACTGTGTGGTCAGGAGAATTTCAAGAAGTTAATTTCTTAGCAAGGTTTTGATATTCAAGACTTGGTGATGATTATAATTTCATAACATTTCCTTTAATTTCAGGTTGAAATGGGTATGAAGAACCATGAAATAGTTCCCTGCAGTTTGATTGCTTCTATAGCCAGCCTGAAACATGGTGGCTGTAATAAAGTTTTAAGAGAATTAGTGAAACATAAACTCATAGCTTGGGAGCGTACCAAAAGTAAGTATTTTGAGGCAACATTTGTGAATTTTCCAATAATTGGTTCCCCCAGAGCAGGTGTTTGAAAGGCAAGAAATGAGAATTGCCAGACAAGTAAAGCACTAGACCAAGAACTGATCATTCTTTTGTGACATATTCTGTTGGTCAGAAATAGTCACAGAACTGTGCAGATCAAAGGAAGTAGACAAAGGAGTAGCAAAATTATACTGCAGAAGAGCAAGTAGAATAGARATATTATTGTTACCATTTTTGTGAATTCATTCTGCCACAGGACTCCAGAGCATTAGTTCTCAAACTTGTTTGGTGAAGGATTTTTTTTTTTTTTAACCTGTAATAAGGCAGATAACAGGTGTATACAAAAGTACAAATTATTGGTCAAATCAACATAAAAATTTCTGAGCTTAAAACATTTATCTTTTTATAGATGCTTACAGACTGTTGTCTGTATATGGGGCACACTTTGAGTAACTGCACAGTAGAGAAAAAATGAAAATTACAGAAAAAAATTTAAACTTATAAATCTATATAGTTTATCTTATTCCAACTAAAGCTTCCTAACTTTAAGTTTCTTCTTAAGACTTGAACTGATGTGACTTATTAATATAATACAACTAAAATATAATCTTTCTCATTTGATTTTTTGTCTAGCTGTCCAGGGCTATCGATTGACAAATGCAGGCTATGATTATCTAGCTTTGAAAACACTTTCCTCCAGACAGGTAGTTGAGTCTGTTGGAAACCAGATGGGTGTTGGCAAAGAATCAGGTAAGTGCTAATTGTACTGATAACAGCTTTTTTTTTTCTTTAGTCTATATTTTCCCTTGAGAAACATTTCTTTTTCATGTTTCCATATTTTCCAACAAAATAGTAAATTGTAAAGTTGGTTAGGAGCAGTGCAGATTAGAAACATCCTTAGTTTGGTTTAGTTATTGTTATTTCCATAGGTCTTTCTCTGAAAAGTCWTTTGAAGAATTAATTTTTCTCTAATGACTCAAATCTTTGGCACATATTTTATTTGCTCTTATTTTGTATTTGATAAATTGTACATTTACATCAGTTAAAAATATGTACCACATAGATGTAGTAGAAGACAATTAATATCTGAAACCATAAACTTATTTTTCCATCGCAAAATTCTGACCATTAAAGGAACGATGAGTATGTGTAAAATGCAGGCAAAAAAAAAAGCATTCTAAGATAGCATTGAACAAATACTTGTGTGTTTATTTATTTTGTATGTGGAAGACGGGAATAAAAAGATGATTTTTTTTATAGCATACCCTCTTATTACCATTATTTTACCCTATGTAGTTTATTCTAGTTCCATTATTTGTCTAAATTGTGGGAGCAGAATTAAACTTGGATSGAGCCAGATGCAGTGGCACACGCTTTAAATCCCAGCCGCTTGGGAGGCTGAGGCAGGAGGATCATGAGTTCAAAGCCAGACTCAGCAACATAATGAGGCCTTAAACAACTCAGCAAGACCCTCTCTCTAAATAAAATATTAAAAAAGGCTGGAGATGTTGGTTAGTGGTTACGCGCCTCTGGATTCAATCCCTGGTACCAAAATTTAAAGAAAACAAAAATTAGAAGTAAAGGAATTATTAGGAAATCTCCACCAAAGAAGGTTCATATGATTTGTATGTCCTCTCTATATCTAGATTATGGTATATATTTAAAAGTGATATAAGATTACTAAATACAGTCTGTGTGTGTAATATATAAACAGAAGTAATGAAATACTTTGGAGGCTGGGGAATGTGGCTCAGTGTTAGAACACTTACCTAGCATGCACAAGGCCCTGGGTTCAATCCCCAGCACCGCAAAAAAATAAATAAATAAATTGATAGATAGATAAACTTTGGGGTAGGCTTCCCATTAACTCTTAAAAAGTGTTCATTTTTTGATTTTTAAGAAATTTATTGCTTGGCAAAATAATGAATGTACAAAAGAGAATACAATAAAAACTAATCTTACTCCTAACTCAAGTCTTTGTCTCCTATTATTACATCCTGAAGCTAACACACTTAGTTAACCCTCTAGAAATGTTCTGTGTAAATACTAGTATATTATATGTATTAAAAATAATATGTATATACATTCACATACTAATTTTAATCACAAGTGACAGCAAACAGTATTATTTCACATATTGATTTAAGTTACTTTCATTTTTGTGAGTAGTAATATGATTAACACCCTTATATAGATGCCTCTATATGTATATACAAATAAATTTGTAAATATATTCTTGAAATTGAATTATCAGGGCATGTATTAGCTTGCTAGGGCTTCTTCTATAGCTAAATACAATAGGTAGCTTAAATGGGAATTTATTTTCTCACAGTTTTGAAGGCTAGAAGTCTAAGATCAGTGTTTGGTTTCTCCTAAAACCTCACGGTAGCTTGCGGATACAAGCCTTCTTGCTGTGTCTTCTCATGGCTTTTGTTCTGTCCTTTACATCTCATCCTCTTCTGATACGGTCACCAGTTCTAATAGATGAGGACCTCACTCTTATGACTTCATTTAACTTTAATTATCTCTTTAAATGCCCTCTGCCCAGATAGTTACATTGGAGGTTATGATTTCAACAAAGGAATTTTGGAGAGTACACAACTCAGTCCATAACAGGGCAAAAGGCATTGAAAATTAATAGGCATTTAAATTTGTGTATTATCAAATTTTCCTCCAAAAAGCTTGTACCAATTTATACTCTATTCAACAGTGTATAACGGAGCCTATTTCTTAACAGAAATAAGTTAAATTACCTCATGAATAATTAGAACATGCTCTAAATGTCGACATTGCATATAGCAAGTTGTTTGATAGTTGATAAAACTATTAGGTCTTTACTTATTATAGGATTGTATTCTCACACAATTGAAGAATTGAAGTTTATATTTTTGAAAGGGAAGATATTAAGTAACTTCTACAAGGGGACATTTAAGGAACAATTAAATGTTTCCCCACTACATTGATTGTTCTGACGTAGGGTAGATGTGGGCACTGAGCATCTTTGAAAACAATCACCTTTAATACATTGCATCTCTGCTTTCTTTTGTAGTAGATATGAATATGTGCTGGCTTGTCATTTTGTATTATATAGTAAAATGGTRAATGCATGGTCATGAAAAGTTTTGTCAAATAAGTTACTACTTAGTGACAAGTGATAGATGTAAATAGATAAGTTACTACTAAGGGGAAAGATGACATACAAATAAAGTCAGGTAAAGTTAGAATTATTTTATCTTATTGCAATAAAAGTAATAAGATATTATTTTTAAATCTGGGTCTAGATATTTACATTGTTGCAAATGAAGAAGGACAGCAGTTTGCATTAAAGCTTCACAGACTAGGAAGAACCTCTTTTCGAAATCTGAAAAACAAGCGGGATTACCATAAACACAGGCATAATGTTTCTTGGCTGTATTTATCTCGTCTCTCTGCCATGAAAGAATTTGCCTACATGAAGGTAATTTCTAAATGATTTTATATTTTTTAACCAAATAATATAAAGACCTTAATGGTAACCATTTCATTAACCTCAAACTCCATTTCTATAGAAAGTCACTTCTAACTTTGTTGCTTGTTATTTTTCTAGTGATTTCCTCCTAGTAAAGGTACTTTTAATTGTTGTTAATGCAAATTTGTATGTGTTTAATATATCTGTTCAACATATAGCTATCTATATATTTATCTGTTTTTAATTGAAAACATCAGATAATTACCATTGAAACCAAAACCAAGTTAACTAGTATTTTTTTAACATAAAAAAGGATGTTTACAAAATCTTTAATTTTTAATCTTTCACTTTCAAAAGCTCAGCATATTCATTAAATATCCTTAATAATACTCAAATATCTTCAATAACTAAACAGAAAATGAGATGGGTTTTATTATTTTTTTCAATAGAGTTTGTTATGATTTATCTTTGTGTTTTAAAAAATATTGAATTATTGTTGAATTTGATCTCCAACAATACAAAAAAAATTGAATTATTGAAAATTGCTTTAGTGTGCAGTCATTTGGAGATTCAGTTTGTTCTTTGAGTAGGTTGTTTTAATTTATGTGCTTAAGTTTCTAGCAATCATGGGAGAGTTCTTAAGGTAGTGTAAATAAGTGACTGATAACATACATGATAATTTGTATGCTATGATATTCATTCTGTAAGTAAGCAGTTTGGTAGGAATTGAGACATTTTCCCAAAACTGTATTAGTGTTTTTTCAGAGTATTTATTTATTTTATTTTATTTTTTAATTAAAGGTACAGAAGTGGAACTTGTTTGCACATAATATAAATAACACTCCTTAAATGCACTAGTATTTTCCTAAAAGGGAAAGAATAAGACATAAAGATTAAGCTATAGGTTGAGAGTTACACTAAATCACAAGTTCTGTGCAAATATTGATAATCCTTAAGGTTATCATTTCTGTTAAACTGCCAAAGCGTGTTCAAAATGATCTGCATTTGGAAAATAACTTTAAAAACAAGCAGAAGTCTCTAGTGAGTTGGAAGTAATTTAAATCCTGTCTATCAAAGGTGGGAGGTAGAATAGACAATCTTTCAAAATTAAGTACTGGTGTCGGGGTGGGGTAACAGAGTGGATACTAAAGGGAATAACTAGTATAGTCTGTGGTGTGTTAAAGTTGGTACTGTAACACACAGAAAATGAAGAACACATTTTTAAAAACAAATCATATGATAAATTTAGAGAAAATTTGGTAGAATAGAATAATTGATGAAAGTGTTCTCATGAAGTGATTAGGAGTTAGATTCATAAAACTTAGATATGATTTGACTATGAGAAGACAATGGATTAAAGAGTATTTGAAAACCAGAAAAAGGTGTTCAAACTGAAGTCAATATTTATATGTCCATTGAAGATTTTTTTAAATGGAGCATTGGTGTAAGCATCTTGATTTGGTGTTGATTCATAGAATGAGTTAGGTTCGGTGGCAAGAGAGAGAATTCTAGCAGAGTAATCTGGCATAAATGACAAAGATTTGCTTAGAAATGTTCCCTTTTAAATGCCAGAGAGCACAGATGTATTTTGAAAGAAGTAACAGGACTTTGATAGAAGAAATTATGCATAGGGGAAAATAGATGTGTGAATGATTTGGAGTAACATTTGATTCAGATGACTACAGTCTACATATTTGTTACATATATAAATAGATTTTTTTTGCATATTGTGCTCTGGAAAAAAAAAGTTTAGTGATCTGTAAACCAAGATGCCTGACCTTTAGAATGCATTATTTCCTAATAAGCTAGATGACAGAGCATGTCCTATATCACAATTTGTTTTCATTGAAATATTTTAAGCACATGTTGACAAATAGTAGAGACAAAATAGGGAAATGTCTTAATAGACCATGAGCTTCTTGAGAGCAAAGTTTTTACTATCATTTTTATAACCCTAGCACAGTGCATGATATTTAGTAAACATTGATTTTTAGAGGAAAAGCTAATACAAAAAGACCTCTTCATTAATTTATTTGTTTGCTATGTTTTAGGCATTATATGAGAGGAAATTTCCAGTTCCAAAACCAATTGATTATAATCGCCATGCAGTGGTCATGGAACTCATAAATGGTTATCCTCTGTAAGTATTCATCATTCTTGAAATCATAGGTCCTAATAAATGAGTTCAAAGTTCAGTTATTTTTTTAATTAGTGAAATACTGCTTTTGGGAAATTAGAAATTGACTTGAAGGAGTAGACTCTAAGACAAGTTGAAAACTCAATTTCATTCTGACATTTTGGTTTTGTAATCTCTGATTCATTCAGTATTTTTTGAGTCTGTTATGTGACAGGTACTTATAACTCAGCCATGAACAAAATAAAATTCCTGCCTTTGTGGAACTTATATTCTGATGGAAGAATACATACAATAAGTAACTAAACAAGGAAATATATATGGGGCATATCAGTAAACTGTGGATAAAAATAAGAAGGATAAAAGGAATAGAAATACTAAGGTGGGAATAAAGGATTGCTATCTTACATAGGCCCATCAGGAAGAGTCTCATTAATAAGGTGAAACCTGGGTCCAGAAACTTGGAGAGGATATCATGCATTTATCTAAGACTGTTATAGACATGTTTGCAGCCATGCCTGGAGTGAGAACAGGGCAGTGCAACAGAGGCAAGTAACTAAGAGAGGTGGGAGCATTTTAAGGAGTAACATCAGATAGGTGAGCAAGCGGCTAGTTAACTTAGGATTTGTAGACCCTTGTAAGGGATTTTTAATTTTTATTTAGATAGGATGCCATTGCAGTGTTTTGAGCAGAGAAGAAATGTGATCACTCTGGCTACTCTGTATTAAAAGTATACTTAACAAAACACAAAAACATATTAGAAAAATAAATTAGAAGACTTATAATCTAGGCAAGAAGTGATAGTAGCTCTGCTTAGTGATAATCATGAAAGTGATTAAAAGTGGTCAGATTCTGTATATGTTTTGCAGGGAGAACCAACATGACTTGTTTCAGGTTGAATTTGGATGTGAAGGAAGCAAGGAGTCAATGATTACAGCAAGTTTTTTGGCCTGAGTACTGATTAATGAGGAAAACCTGAATATCATGGTGCCCCAAGTAAAAAAAAAAAAAAAAAAAAAAGTATTTCAAGGAGGAGAAAGAAGTTGACTAATTAGAAATGATGACAACTAGGAACTTGAACTAAGAATTTGGACACTGAAATTTTGATAAGAGCTACTTATTGGAATGAAGTAGATGCTTGTTTGTTTGAAGTGGGTTCATTAGAAAGTGGGAGGAAAGCCGGGGACAGTGGTGCACACCTATAATCCCAGCAGCTAGGAGGTTGAGGCAGGAGAATATCAAGTTCAAAGCCAGCCTCAGCAACTTAGCAAGGCCCTAAGCAACTTGGTCAGACCCTGTCTCTAAATAAAAATGTAAAAGAAGGGCTGATGATATGGCTCAGTGGTAAGTGGCCCTGGACACTAAAAAGGAAGGGGGGAAAAAGGAATTGAAAAAGTCTCATGTAAAAAGAATTTGGCTCTAAGGAATGTCCAAAGAAAGGAGGTTGTCATGGAAAGAGCATATGGAATTGAAGTAGGCTGTGGCTTTTTGTTTTAATAGCTGGAACATATTGTACCTGATCTTGGAATGATCAGATAATCTTAAAAACTAGGAAGATAGGGAATGGAAATAATATATATGTACACACACTTTAATAATTAATTTCATTACAATCATGAATGTATACAAATAACCTGTTATTGTTACTTCAGATGTCAGATACACCATGTTGAAGATCCTGCATCAGTATATGATGAAGCTATGGAATTAATTGTGAAACTTGCAAATCATGGGCTGATTCATGGAGATTTCAATGAATTCAATCTCATATTGGATAAAGATGACCATATTACCATGATTGATTTTCCACAAATGGTATCAACTTCTCATCCCAATGCTGAATGGTATATTCTGAAATTGATTATACAGAAGGATGTGTTTGTGCATGAATGAAATTATTTTTTATGTATAATTTTCCAATTTTGGAACACTATCATTTAGGTCAATAACTGGTTTGAAATGGCTGGTTATATTGATACAAAAAAGATAACAAACATTAGAAAGATAAATAGATTCCTATTTATTGAAGGTTATTCAACTACTAGAATTTTCCCCATAAGATAATCTCTTTTTATTTCTTAGTATTTTGAAGGGGAAAAATGTGCTTTGATCCAGTTTTTAAATCCTATTCTTAAAACTTATGTACATACTGGAAAGCTAAAGAAATYGAGGCTTTTATGTATATAAACTACAATGAAGTAATTGTAATTTGACGGATATTCAASTTAGATTTTCTTAGCCATGAAAACTTTTGTTCAAACAGACTTTTTAGGAACAGTTTTTTAAACATAAAAAAAGACTACTCAGAAATAGAGACATACATGAAGGGGGGAACCCTAGAACCACCACATAACTTTTTTAACTTTCCCCTTTTCTCTCTTCTGTGGTTAGCTTCAAGAGAACTTCACCAAACATAACTCAATAATGTTGGACAGCCCTAAGTAAAAGTTGTAGTTTTGAACTGGACTCAATTACCAGACCAATAATAATTATCTCTTATGTCATTTTTAGCTTTTGTTGGAATTCATATAATATTTCTTCCCTGGCACAAGGCAGAATCAATTTAAATGCTTCAATAATCATATTCTTTATATTACCTAACCATCTAAAGCCAGCCAAGTTGTGAAATATGACCTTTTCCTTTATTTACATGTATTTCATGATGCAGTTCAGTGTAATCTAATTAAGGTTAAGTGTGTTTTTTCTCTTCTGTTCCAAGTTTTATGAGAAACATCTTTTTCATAAAGTAATTGCTGGTACCACTTATGTAGTAGGGTATATTCATTTTTTGCAAAGTTTGAGCTTGAAGCAGTTTACATTAAGTGAAGCTTATCTTCCTCCTGGTTTCCATTAGAAAATGTCTATACATATGGTAGAGGAAGAAGTATCATTTAAAAAATATTTCCAAGAAAACAATACTAGAAGATTAATGGCTTACATTTGGATGGTCAGTACTCTGGTTATTAACTAAACCATTTTTATTATATGGAATAGCATATAGTTATACAATAAAGGAACATGTGGGAACCACCATTTAGAGAAGGAATTGATGACTATGTTCTAAGTTTAAGCTGCATTATTTTTTAGGGAGACATTGTGATTTAATTCAAATTTTTATGGAAGAATACTGGGGCAAAGGACTTGTGCTAAGTACTAGAGATTTCAGTATAAATAAATCCAGTTTCTGCTTTTGAAAAAGTTATTGTCTATTGGGTAAAATGTGAACATGTATAAAATGATAACTTAAAAATTTATTAAGGTTTTACCTAGGATACCCTGACAGCAAGTAATGGTGGCATTGTCTTCCTACTCCGAGACTTCATTGTTCTCAAAATAACTTAGTTAATTCCTAGGTCCTTGATCCACTTTGAGTTTAGTGCATGGTGAGAAAGAGGGGTTTAATTTCATTTTGTTGCATATGGATTTCCAGTTTTCCCAGCACCATTTGTTGGAGAGGCTATCTTTTCTCCAATGCATGTTTTTGGCTCCTTTGTCTAACAGAAGATAATTGTAATGTTGTGGGTTAGTCTCTGTGTCCTCTATTCTGTATCTTTGGTCTACCAGTCTGTTTTGGTGCCAGTACCATGCTGTTTTTGTTACTATTGCTCTGTAGTATAGTTTAAATGTCTGGTATAGTGATGCCACCTGCTTTGCTCTTCCTGCTAAGGATTGCTTTAGCTATTCTGGGTCTTTTATTTTTCCAGATGAATTTCATGATTGCTTTCTCTCTTTCTATGAGGAATGCCATTGGGATTTTGATCAGAATGGCATTAAATATGATAGTGCTTTTGGTAGTATGGTCATTTTGATAATATTAATTCTGCCTATCCAAGAGCAAGGTAGATCTTTCCATCTTCTGAGGTCTTTGATTTCTTTAGGGTTCTGTAGTTTTCATTATATAGATCTTTCACCTCTTTCATTGATTCCCAAGTTTTTTTGTTATTGTTGTTTTGGTTTGTTTGTTTGTTTTTTGAGGCTATTGTAAATTGGGTAGTTTTCCTCGTTTCCCTTTCAGAGGATTTGTCACTGATATACAGAAATGCCTTTGACTTATGGGTGTTGACTTTATATCCTGTTACTTTGCTCAATTCATTTACTAGTTCTAGAAGTTTTCTGGGTCTTCTAGGTATAGAATCATTTCGTCAGCAAATAGTGCTGATTGAAGTTCTTCTTTTCTTATGTGTATCCCTTTAATTTCTTTCATCTGTCTAATTGCTCTGGCCAGTGTTTCAAGAACTATGTTCAATAGAAGTGGTAAAAGAGGGCATCCCTGGTGTCTAATAGAAGAATGAGTAGGCCCTAATCTTCATCATGTGGGATTAGGTTCCATTTTCCTTAATAAGGCTTCTATAGCACAAGAATTAAAACCAAGAATCAATAAATGGGATGGACTCAAACTAAAAAGTTTCTTCTCAGCAAAAGAAACGATCTATGAGGTGAATTGAGAGCCTACATCTTGGGAGCCAATTTTTACCCCTCACACATCAGATAGAGCACTAATCTCTAGGGTATATAAAGAACTCAAAAAGCTAAGCACCAAAAAACCAAATAACCCATTCAGTAAATGGACCAAGGACATGAACAGACACTTCTCAGAAGGAGATATAACTGATTGTATATCAGTTAACAAATATATGAAAAAATGTTCATCATCTCTCACAATTAGAGAAATGCAAATCAAAACTACTCTAAGATATCATCTCAGTCCAGTCAGAATGGCAGCTATGAAGACAAACAACAATGAATGTTGGCGAGGATATGGGGAAAAAGGCACACTCATATTCTGCTGGTGGGACTGCAAATTGGTGCAACCAAAATGGAAAGCAGTATGGAAAATCCTTGGAAAATTGGGAATGGAACCACCATTTGACTTCTTTGGGTCTATACCCAAAGGACTTAAAAACAGCATACTATAGGGACACAGCCACATCATTGTTTATAGCAGCACAATTCACAATAGCTCAACTGTGGAACCAACCTAGATGCCCCTTAGTAGATGAATGGTTAAAAAAAAAATGTGGCATATATACGCAATGGAATACTACTCAGTAATGAAAGAGAATAAAATCATAGCATTTGCAAGTAAATGGATGGAGTTGGAGATGCTAAGTAATGCTAAGTAAAATTAGCCAATCCCAAACAAATGCCAAATGTTTTCTCTGATATAAGGCAACTGACCCATAATGGGTACAGAGGTGGAGCATGGAATAGACGAATAGGCAGAGGGGTGGGAGGGAAAAGGAAGGGGCAGGAGGTTAGCAATGATGGTGGAATGTGATAGATATCATTATCCAAAGTACATGTATGAAGACRTGAATTGGTATGAACATATCTTATATTACAGAGATATGAAAAATTATGTTTTCTATGTGTAATAAGAATGTAATGCATTGCACTGTCATGCATTTAAAAATAAAATCAATTAAAAAATARTTAAGATCCAAGAAGATGGTCAATTCCATGTCATCCTGTCCTTAATTCTGCATTATCTGGAAATTGTCTACAGAAGTGAATCAATTTTTGCAGCATACTGGTGACCAAAAAACAACCTAAACTGCTCTCAGTTCAGATTAACATGTCTTCAGATCATTATTTATAAGCTACAGCGTGATTTATCCCTTTGGGTATTACTATAGTTTAGCTAATGGATAGCAAAGATATATAAACTTAATTCAGTAGTCTCTAAACTTTTCCTTGAATCATTAATCTCTTTTTTTATCTTTAGCTTTCCCAGTTGGCAAGGGATTCTAGTGGGTATTGCTAATGGGTACATTACCAGACAGATCGGGGACTAAAGAGGATAAGTGGAAACCTCCCAACCTGTAGACCCATGGTCTTCTTCACTCATTAGTTCATGCTCAGTCCCCCACCCCCYAATGTATCTTACTGCATATTAAGTAACAATGTGAGAAAACCCTGATTTTTCTAATCATAGGAACTGTATTGACAAGCTTATATCTCTAAAGAGTTCCTCCTATTTTCATTTTTTCAAATGTAATGTCACTGATTTATATTTCTTTCATGTAACATTTTTCTCCTTTATGCTTGGAGCACAAATATCATAACTAATGTTATTGTCATTGGCTAATTAGGAAAATGGCAAGTGATGAGGCAATATAAAAAAGTGATTTTTTGCTTTTGCAGGTATTTCGACAGAGATGTTAAATGCATTAGAGATTTCTTCATGAAACGTTTTGGCTATGAAAGTGAACTTTACCCTGCCTTTAGTGATATCAGGTTTGTCCTCAACATGGCTTAAAATGCAATGCTAGGGCTCACTAAATATCTGATTTATTTAATTCTAAAGGTTAATACTTTAAAAGATGTCAAATAGTAATGTTTGACACTTTGTGTTTGCTTTTGAATTTCATTGCCCTACAGTATAACAATGGAACTTAAAAATTTGAAAACATCTGCCTTTGATCTATTAAGGCATTGCTTAAATTTTGAAATGGAATAGATATATAGTTTCTTACAAATTCAAGAACCTTTATTCTATTTTGAAGGCTGTGTAAATAACCTATTMATAAGAAATCTAACAAAATACTTTCTTAAATTTTTGTTTTTTCCTTTATTCAGAGTACAAACTGTCTTTAATTCACTCTTGAAACATAATCATGTATACTCTCTAAGTTTCCTCATTTGTTTTGTGTACTTAAGATATTCTTGATTTGGGATACCTTACATAAGTTAAAAGAAATCTTTAGCTGTTTTTGAAAGCTAATTTACTAAGTTAAATACCAGCTGAAGTTTTTGGTTTTGTGTTTTTTAAAGAATTGAACTATCCATCCATCCATCTATCTATCTATTTATTTATTTATTTATTATGGTGCAAAGGGTCAAATCCAGTGCCTCACCTGTGCTAGGCAAGCACTCTATCACTGAGCTACAACAGCAGTCCCCCAACTGAAATCTTTACAACTTTGTTATTAATATGTGTTGCTTTTCTCTTATTATATTTTATTCTTAAAGTGACACCTGTATCTTTTTTGTGTACTTAAGTAATTTAAGTATTATATTTTAGGCAAGGAAAAATATTGTAGACTATTGAACTCACTTGAATCATAGCTTATTAGAGGAGTTGATATTTATCCATCTCATTTTTTTCCCCCTCTTTCAGTGTTTGACACTTTTTTTTTCTTTGTAGGAGAGAGGATTCTCTTGATGTTGAGGTTTCTGCCAGTGGTTACACAAAGGAAATGCAGGCAGATGATGAACTGCTACATCCAGTAGGTCCAGATGATGAAAATACTGAAACTGGGGAGGGATCTGATTTCTCATTTTCTGATGAAGAAGTATCAGAAAAAGCAGAGGATTGTAGGTCAGAAATTGAAAGGGAACAGAACTTTGAAGATGAATCAGGTGGTTACTGTTGCAGCTTATCTGGAGAATCTGAACAAACAAAAAAWGACAGTTTGTCAGAGGAGAGTGCTGAGGCACACACACTTGAAATGACTGAATTCAGTCAAGCTTTGGAAGAAATAAATGGATGGGAATGTGAACACAAGTCAGTAACTGAATTTTCTGAGGAGAAGAACCAAAATGATATCAAGCAAGATGGTCAGACAGGTCAAGAAGAAATTCCTGCTGGCTCTGAAGAGTATGAAGATGAATGCCCTCATCTGATTGCTTTGTCATCATTAAACAAAGATTTCATGCCTTTCAGGTATATATTTTTGTTGATTGCTTTTTTTTTTTTTTTTTTTTCTTGAGACCAATGCTTTTTTTTTCTTCTTCTTCTGGTAAATGAATGTTTTTGAAGAGAAACCAAATAGTATGACAGTTGTAGTCTGCCATCATTATGTGTAAAATGAAAGCCAAATAACCTTTTTGTTGTAAAACTTCAAAATACCTTCCTTTTCATTTAGCCTGATTTGAGGCAATCTGTTCACTAAATTTCAAATAATTCTGGCTTAAAGTACAAATTGATGACTTTCAACAAATTGATATAGGTATCTTGATAAATTGATTGCATTTTAGATGGATGAGTTCTTTTGTTTTCATAGTGACATGTATAATGTGTATGTTTGAGCTAGATAAAAACATGTAAGTATATGCAATGTGTAGTAAATGTGCTTTCAATATAAAATGACTACAGTGAATTTTCTTGGACTTTGAACCCTTTCTTTTTTATTCATATTAGTTAAAATTATATGATAGTATTGTTTTCCTCTAGATTTGGGAAGCATATTCAGAATCAAACTACAGTTCAATAAATACTGGTTTTGTTTATCTAAAAATAATAATAGAGCAAAATTAAATCAGCTCTACACTTACTAAATGATTGGGCTTGCATCTCAAGGCTGCCTTTATCTTTATACTTTTATTTATGAAGCACAACTTGAGAATTTTGTTCCTTTTCCACATAGCTCTGTGTCTTCAGTCTCATGGCTATTGCCATTTAAATAATAAACTTAAAATTTAAAKCATAAGCATTTAAGGAAAAAAGTCCAGCTTATCAGTGGTTCAGAATTTTGAGTGAATGTGTTGGTCTGGGTTCTCCATAGAAAAAACTAATAGATTTATTATAGATGCTCTTCAACTTACTATGGGGCTACATTCTGATAAAACTCGTAAATAGATTATATTGTAAGTCAAAATGCATTTAATACACTTAACCTGTTGAACATCATTGCTTCGTAACACAGTACACTGTAGAGTATGTATTATTTACCCTCATGATTCCTTGGTTGACTAGTAGCTGCAACTTCACTGTCATTGTCCAGTACCTTGAGAAAGTAAAATATTATATCACTAGCCTGAGGAAAGGTCAAAATTAAAAATATTGTTTTTAGTAAATACATACCTCTTTTGCTCGGTGTGAAGTTAAAAAAAAAAAGTAAAATCATAATTGAAAACAGTCTGTATAAGGAATTGACTCATGTGGTAATATAGGCTGAGAAGTCCCAGGATCTGTTGGAGACCCAGGAGATCTAGTGATATAATACTAACCCAAATCTGAAGGCCTAACAACCAGGAGAGTCAATAATGTAGGTTCCAGTCTGAGGTCAAAAGCAGAAGACTAATAATGTCCCAGCTCTGAGACAGGCAAAGAAAACAGTTTCTCTTTATTCTGCCTTTTTGTTCTAACCAAACCTTCAGTGGATTGTATGAGGCCTAGCTACATGGGGGAGGTCCATCTCCTTTACTTTGTCTACCAATTCAAAAACAGTCTCACTAGATACACCCTGCATAATGTTCAAACAAATATCTGGCACCCCGTGGTGCAGTGAAGTTATACATAAAATTAACTATCACAGTGATAATTAAAAAAAAAAACAAAACCTACATAGCTTTAAGTAGTTTTCTAAGCAGGGAATGGAAGTAATTGTTTTCACTCTGAACACGTGCKGGGCAAAACTTATTATTTGCAATAGAAGCCAAATAGGTGTTGCTGAAAAATATCACCCATTAATATTGTCTGAGTTTTTTATGCAAAGTGAAAAACAAGTTAGACAGTTCCCATGCTTATAGGTTTTTTGTTGTTGTTGTTGTTTTGTTTTTTGGGGGGTGGGGGGATTGTTTGTTTGTTTGTTTGTTTTTGGTATCAGGAATTGAACCCAGGAGTGCTTAACCACTGAGCTACATCCCCAGCCATTGTTTATTTTTATGTTGAGACAGGGTCTTGCTGAATTTCTTAGGGCCTCCATAAGTTGCTGATGCTGGCTTTGAACTTGTAATCTTCCTGTTTCAGCTTCCCAATTTGCTTGGGTTTTAAGCATGCATCACCATGCCCAGYTCCATGCTTATAGTTTTTTCTGCCTTAGCAGAGCAGAATCATGCACTACTATCTCTGTCCCCATTCTATCTACTATTGTTTGCTACAAGGAAGGAAGGAAAAGTAAARCAGAGATTTAGATTGTGAGAGGAAGATTTGTATAGTGCAGTGAAAGAGGAGGAAAAGAGACATGAAGAGAAGCAATGAATTTTGATAACTGACAATCTGCCATTTTGGATTTTCAATAGTGACTATGAGAATGTTGAAAAATTGTTAATATGTTGGGCTGAATTTTAGGTAGTTTTACCTTCATAGAAATTCTAACTGTAATTGATCTTGAGGTATTTTATGTCTAAGCTTTATTTTTATGTAAGAAGTAATATAAATTAATCAAGTATGACTAGTTACATTATAAGAATTAACTAAAGAAATTGTGTGGTTTTTTTATTTTAGAGATGAAGAAAATATGACAAATATTAATCAGAAAAGAACAAGAACTCTGAGTGTTACTTCTGCAGGCAGTATTGTTAGCTGTTCAACAATTCCTCCGGTAAGCATTCACATAGCATTTACCAAATGTTGATTTGATCACTACTATGGACATATTAATGAGCTCAGTTACTGTGAGGATTTCAAGACACCTTTGGACATTTGGACTTCACACATTTTATAAAATTATAGCAGGTATAAATATAGTAATATAAGATATAGTGTTCACTTTAAGTGGAATGTGCAAAGCTTTCCAGAAAAAAAGTGATATAAAGGATAAAGTCATAGATATTTTAGGTCCAAAATTCACATGTGGTTTAGTTACTTCATTTTAACAATGAGTAAGATTGCGGCCAAGATAGGTTATGTAACTTTGTTCAGTTATCTAGAGAAACAACTAATAGCAGTGAGAATAAAGCATAAAGATGCATCTCCTTTACTAGCTAGTTTGTTTTTGAATTTTCAAAGAGAAAAATGGGTTAATTTAAAAAATTTGAAATCTCAGATTTTTGTTACATCCTTTGAACATTTAGCAGCAATTATCCAAAGAAATTACAAAAGGGACACTGGACAGRACAATGAACAAAAATATTCTAGCTCCTACTGAGGAATTCTTTTGCTTGCCAGCTTTTTCAGAGCTGATCAGAAGGAAGAGTCAGTTTAGAACTAATTATATCCCACAGAGCAAAGCCATTCTCATTGTCTGTGGAGATAGTGTCTGTCCTACACTCTGACATCAATATTATAAAGCTGTATGTGACTCTTATTTGCCATTTAGGAATTATATGAATTTATAAGTATCATAATTCTTCTGATAACTGAGATATACTCACTCCTGGTTTTCTATCAAAACCAAGTCTGAATCCTTTGGTAATCAACAAAAACTAGTGTTTAAGTCTATAGCATACTATCTTATTTCCTAGCCTTCTTTAAAGACTATGCAGTGTTTTGAAAATTGTAGTTTGAATGTTCTAAGATTCTTTTGTAACATTAGAAAGTAAAGCAACATACTAATTTGTCAGGTTTTTTTTTTTTCGTATATGAAAAGTACATAATTGATTTATTGGCTTTTTCCCATTTACGTTAAGTACTATCAAAGCCAGTTTTTAATGATAACTTTTTTTAAATGAGCAAAAGAATAAAATTAGTTTAGAAACTAAGAAAGGAAGAAATAAAATGAGCAGTTGGAAAGGCTAGGAAATAAGTAAATTTATTAAAAAAAGAAAATAACTTCTTTTTTCTGAACTTATTCCAAGTTCAGAAATATTGTCAATAAATTAAAATACATGTCCTGTGAGGAATAATATGGGATATTTGCAAAAGTCAATTAGAGCCATTAAAAACAAGGTAAAAATAACACTACTATTTATAATATAGCACACTTTTAGCTCTGGAACCTTTACTTGATATCAGAAACATCATTAAAAATGTGAAGTCCTAGTAATCTTATTGGTTCCCTATTCTCTTTATGGTGGTCTGGCAATTTATCTATTTTCTGAACATAAAATTGAAATCTATGAAGCATCTATTATATTCAAAAGTTTTCCTTTTAAATATCATCAACCTACTTTATCAGATATTTCTCATAATTATTCTGCCAGTCCACTCTTGGCTTTAGTATTTTCTATAATATTGGGATTTATTTACCCTTCTTTCTTTGATTTCTCAGAATTAAAGCATAATTTTTAATTAGTTATTGAATTTGAAAAAAAGATTCTTAATTTATACTACATCTTTAAATTCTAACTTATGCTTTCTTCCATATGGAAAGATGATGGCATTGACATTGTCAGAAGCCAGGTTAAAATTGTGTTTGCGTGTTTTAAGCATTATTTTTACTGCTCTGATATTCTTATACCATCTCTCTTACTAGCCAGCATCATGAACATTTAGAATGGAGTTTAGAGTGGAGTCAGGCCTATAACTGTTACATCTTGAGTTTTATGAGTTACATTATGAAAAACAAATTTGCTTTCTTGGGAGGGGATAAAATATCTCTTCTACCTAGCTTGATCAATAAAGATTTCTTCTGATCATTTGAAACAAACTTATTATCTTAATTCTACATTTTCTTAAAATTTTTGTCACACGCTTTTCTTTGGGGGTAACATTTCATTTTGTTAAAGGACCAGGAGAAAACAAACTTTGTTACCTCCATTAACTTGATATTTGTTGTTTTGTTACCTGCACAAAGGTAAAAGATTTTGTGTGTGTGACTTAAAATTTAATTATAAAATCTTTCTTCCTTAAAGTAGTTTTATGATTTCTATTTCTTGGCCATTTATAAACCCTATTCTTAATAATATATAGCAAAATTAAATTATAATTAAACAGTAAGAGAAATTGCYTTGTAATAAATACATGTATAGCTACCACCGAGTAGAACAATATTTTTGCTTTAACAATAATGAAGGGAGATGATTTTTCATTAGTTTTTTTATACTCCCTAATATAACACACAAGTATTTTTACACAGTTTTTAAGTGGAGTTTTCTTAACATCAAGAAAAAATAACTTTGTATCATCTGTAAGTTATTCTGAATTTGATAGGAGACACATGGAAATCTCTTCAAAATAAATAAGGGAAAATTCAAACAGAATAATTAGGAACAAAGGTTTTTTTTTYCCCCACTTGGAAATATTATGTAGGCCTCTGTCTGGTTTTCGAATTTAAACACGGCACATAATCTACTGACTTCCTGTGACTTTCCATCTTCTCTCTGCTGGATGCTTTCTTTTCTAGTCCCATTTTTTTCTTTAGTTTCTATTTGGCAATATAGGTACCGGTGATTTTTTTGAATGATATTTTCTGGGTCTTTTATTACTAAGACTATTTTTATTTTGTTATCAAACATGATTGGAAATTTGGTTACCTGTTAGCCTGTGATTAGGAAATAATTTTCCTTCAGGATTCTGAAATTATTGTTTCTGTCTTCAAGCTTACAGTATTAGTATTGTAGTTAAGAATATGCAGAAGAGCTTCAGATTCTTTTCTCCAGTTGGGAAAGAGTGGTATTCATAGTTTCTGGGGTAAGGGAATACTCCTAAAACTTAGCTAATTCTGCTTTTAGTCTTGAAACTTCTGGAATGGCAGGTTATTTTGTCTCCCACCTTCCTGGGTTTAAGAGGCTGCATCATTTGGAGCCATCAGACTCTGTAGAAACCTCTCTCTCTTTTTTTTTTTTTTTAGGCTCTGATTCTTCCTATCTTTTTTCTCTTTCTTGTCTCATACCTTTCCTTCTATGAAGAATCATTAAACAACAACAAAAGGATAGCTTTAAAGCTTGTTGTTAATTGATTGTAACTAAACTGCATTTAACTTATCTGGTTTACAGTTTATTATACCTAAGACTGAAGAAACAGTCCAGTAAGCCAACTAGTTCATCTCGCCTCATTTTACCTGTCTAACCCATTGTTATTTAACTTTTTAACTTAGCAGATTTTTTTTTTTTTTAATAAATGCTACTTGGTAAGGCATATGATCCTTGCTTCTATCTTTGCAATTTTTTCTTCTGTTTTAGGAGACAAGTTGAATGGTGCAAGGTTATATACTAGTAAACAGCAGGCTCTGCTGCTGCAGAAAAAGAAAAAGTCATTGTGGACTAAGTATTTCAGATTTCTTTTTCATTATTTACGTCATGGAACATGCAGCCTATCTTAATAAACAATTTTGGATTTTTAATCATTTACTGTGAGAAAACATTCTAACAACTATAGAGAAACTTTTCTATGAGTAGCTGCTGCCATATGTCATTCCAACAACTGAAATTGTGAAGGCATTCTTGGATATATTGTCAACAGTTAATGCTTTCAAAAATAATTTCCCAACCATTTCTAGCCGGGTGTGTTGGCACTCGCCTGTAATCCCAGCAACTCGGGAGACTGAAGCAGGAGGATCACCAATTCAAAGCCAGCCTTAGCAACTTAGCAAAWCCCTGTCTCAATAAAACAAAAAAAGTGGGGCTAGGAATGTGGATCAGTAGTAAGCACCTGTGGGTTCAATCTCTAATACCAGAAAAACAAAACAAAACCATGTCTACTTTTACGTAGAAAGCAACATAGTTTTCTCATTTGTTGGTGGTATTTAAATAATTGTTGCTACTGGTATATATAATAATAAGTTTTAGGTATATAATCTATATTTCTGTTAGGAATTTGATTTTTCATTTTTGTTTTTGGCACTGGGAATTGAACCCAGGGACTCTTTACTACTGAGCTACAGTCATTTAAATCTTTATTTTTTATTTAGAGACACGGTCTCATTAAATTTCTGAGGGTTTTACTAAGTTGTGGAGGCTGGCCTCAAACTGCTTTAGCCTCATGAGTCACTGGGATTATAACATGTGCCACCATGTCAAGCAGGAATTTTAGTTTTAGGGGTTTTTTTAAAGTTTTTTTAATCTTTGTAACAGTTTCTACTATTTTATTGCTGGTTATATACTACTGTGGAATTGTAAAAACTCATGCTTTTAAAAGATATAAATGTATAAGGTATTAGCAATGTACATCTTTATATTAGTGAATTTGTGCTCCTTATCAAAATGGTTATCAATAATACTAATATGTGAAATCTTTCCAGGAATTGGTGAAACAGAAGGTTAAACGTCAGTTGACGAAACAGCAAAAATCAGCTGTCAGACGTCGATTACAGAAAGGAGAAGCAAATATTTTTACCAAGCAGCGGAGAGAAAACATGCAAAATATTAAATCAAGTTTGGAAGCAGCTGGCTTTTGGGGAGAATAATAAAAAGGATGGATATTTTTAACGTATATTTTTAAGTTACCATAACCCTATTTACAGCTACTTGTACTCTTTATTGGACCAAAGCCAATAAATAAATAGATAAATAAACCCTCTTCAGTTTGACTCATTCTCAATATGTCTTCCAAAGAAAAAGTAATTCTGCTAAAACAACCATTTTTTTCAAGTAATTTATACGACTTTAGTATACTAAAAGAAAGTTTTCAAAAAAACTTTGTTAGAGGCATTTGCATATTTTTAAAAGTCTCAATATCATCATTTTTGTTTTATTTTGTTTGGTGTCTACCAAGAACAGTTAGATTACTTGGTTACAAATCCCAGCCTTTTCACTTCATAACAAACAATTTAAAGCAAGTCATATTTCTTTCTCTTGTCCTGACTTTTCTTACTTTTAAAATTGGATTTATACCTATTTTGTACAGTTGTTTTGAGGAATACATGAGACAATGTGCATAAGGCATTTAGAATAATGCCTGACACATTATAAACATTTAATAAAGCATAGCTGTTAGAATTATACTGACATTCATCTTAAATTTTGCTGACAAACTGGTTGCCTTTTAGTTAGCCATTGGGAGACTTCACTGCCTTTTACTCTTTCGGATAAGCTAGTAATACATATTAATTTGTTAAAAACTTAACTMATTATTGGTGTTATTTACATTGGCATGTGATCATGGGAACAAAACCTTGAGACAAGTTATACAAAGATTTTTACAGTTGGCAACTTTTATGAAGGACCAAATGAGTGGAAAAGTAGGGGATGAGAGGAGTCAGAAAGAATGAGCGATTTTTTTTTTTTTTTWAATTTTCATKTTCTTACATAGGTGAGTCCAGAAAATGTTCTTCAATGTTAACAAGTAGTTATCTCAGGAAATAAATATATAATCCATAGTTCCTTAAGAACTTCATAATTCAGTGAGATATGAAGGTGGGATGCAGTGCATAAGGTGGGTATATGTTCCTGCTATGATCAAGTCTCCAGCATCCCCAAGTAGTCTGGTAGAGGAAGAGCACCTGCAGTGGAAATGGCCACTAGGTGGCAGTGTCACACCACAGTCGCCAACAGGATGGCTCCATGCATCTTGATTATGATCTACTGGAGGGAATATAGTAGTAAATTGCTTTTCAGTATTGATAGACATCACATTCCCTTTTACCTTTGTAAAATTAATGTTGCCTATGTTCAACATCCTTTATTATTTAATAAATTTGTTTCAATATACAGGCACAAGAAAATGTCAAATTCCATTTCTTCAAAATTAAAATTTGGATGTGTTTACATAGCCCTACTTTAAATTTGAGGTATGTCTTAAGTTCAAATATTCATTTTTTTGTATTCTGTCTAAAGCATTTTTATACCAGTGTTGAAGACAGCTCAATAGAACCACAGAATATTTATTTTGGAATACATTTTCTTTCGAGTGTAGAAAGCAAAATTAGGAACAAAATTACATGACCTCATCTTACTTGGCTATATTCAGCTGACTGAGTTGATCTACATAAAATGTTAATTACTATTTGAGAAACAGAAGACAAATGTACATGGTTCTGAACCTTCAGAGTCTAGGATTTCATGGGGCAACAGGACAAATTAAATCAGAAATGGAAGCCTCATCTCATTTGAACAAAGATTAGTGTTAGCTACTAAAGATTCAGCAATAAGTGGTATGATAAGGTCTTTGTTTCTTGTGGGCTTTATTTGTTAAAAACCAGTTCAATCATAATAGTTTAAAATTTTGAAGGATAGCCATCAATTAGAGAATTTGTCCTCTCAGAGAAGCTATAATCCTCAAATTTTAAAACATTCACAGTAAACAATAAACAACAACAAAAATTTCCCCCMAAAAAAATTTTATTGTCATTTAAAACACTTTTGGAGGGACTAGGGGTTTAGTTCTGTGGTAATGTTACCTAGCATGGGTAAGGCAAGCATATGATCCTGGGGGTCTGATTCACAGCACCACACTGAAGAAAAGCAAAACTTGCATCTGTGTATTCCAAATTTGAATTTTGGTTCTACCACAAATCTCAAGTACCTTCTATAGCCTCTCTAACCTTAGTTTTTCAATTTTCAAAATGGGGTCATTTCATAATGCCTATCACAGAGTTGTTAATGCCTATTACAGACTAATAAAATAACACTTGTTAGAGTATCAGTGTGTGATACAAAATTATATGGTAAATTAAAATGTCTTCTTGAGGTTATCAAAAAGAATCCACAGACTAATCATCTTTTCTGTTTTCAAAGTCACTGATATTTAAACTCTATGAATCTTTGTTGTGTATTTATGAAGACACAACTGGAGGCATAGCCCAATGGAACAGTACATACTTAGTATGTGCAAGGCCTCGTTCAATCCCCTGCTGTCCTCTCTCTCTAAAAATAAGATGCTTTACTTGTCCTTGTCTTGCATAGTCTACTTACTGTTCCCATTAAATAAGCATTTCCTACAAAATAAATGTGAGACCACAGCAGAGGATACAGTGAGGAGTTCATTAGTTTCTCAGAGCATTTCCTCATGTGTAGGTTTATTTTGTTGCCACATATGCAATACTTTGCTTGGCAAAGGCTCACCTTCTTCAGACCATCTCCCTAGAGAGCATCAGGTCACATCTTGGTTTGTACTCTGTTTGCTTTATGAAGTACTAGAGCCATCTTATATATAAAACTGTGTAGGACTCTGGAGGTTATAAAGTTCAGAACATCCCTGGGTTACACAATGATATGATTTTCAGGAACATGGGGATGACTCCAAAACCTACATCACTTTTATAGAAAGCCTACCATTCACAAAGACATATTTCTTATATCTTTAAAACTAAATTTTTCTCTTAATAGAACATTTAGAATCACATTAATATTGGTTTAGTTTCTTAATGCCTCATAATACAAATAAACTATATTATTTAAGCCATTTATCACAATATTATGTTCTTTTCTTTTCACTTTTATGAAAAAAAGTAACCACTTGAAATAAATGAATTTTTGAAGAACTGCTTACATCCTGCCATTGACAGAAGAGATGTGACTAGATTAGGGAGAAAAATGTGGTTTTCCCATATTGGTTTTCTAAATGTTTATATGTGTACAGTGTTATCAAGGGGAAGGGTACACAAATTTCTGAGATATAACTTTTGCTGGTTGACAACCTCCAATATGTGTGGAGAGGCAGGAATAAGCACACAGAATAACTACATGACAGTATAAAGCAGATTCTAAGAGTCTGGTATCACTCTTGCTGCTGAGGAAGTTCCAAAGACAGTCTGAGTGAAAGAAGTTGGGGAGTGGTTTGTAGAAGAGGGATTTGGTAGAGTATGTAGACTGAAAAAGAACTTACAAAGGAGGAAATCATGCAGAAAATCCAAATGACAGAAGTGAAAATAGTATGCTTGCTCTGCTATGGTTGGGGAAAGGTTGTTATACAGTAAAGAACCAAGTCAAAGATGATTTGAAATTAAAAGAAAAAGAAGAAAGTTGATATATTAGGTGGGGGGGAAGGCTACCAGGTTTTGAGTAGTGCAGCAACTTGATTTTAAAAGATGGGGAAAGGGTTAAGGGAAATTTGTCAATGTTAGAATTGATTGGAGGGAACCTGGAATAGAATCTTAAAGGTTCTATTAAGTCTTAAAGTTGAACACTCCTGAATATATTCTATTCTATTCTACTATAGTAACAGAGATCTCTATGACTTTGTTTCTACTGTAGAGATAAGAAAACATTTTTAGATGTAAAATTTCTTGCCCAACTCACAGAGTGAGTAAGCTTGAGAAGGAGTAGGAGGGAAGGATGGAATTGATAAATAATGAAAGGTGAGGGGTGACAAAGCCAGCATACTCAGGTGGTTTAGAGCTTATACTCAGCAAAGTCACTGAGATCCACAGTGACTTGTCTTCTTGTCACTGTAGACATATTTCACAACCAGGTTTTAAGTTCTATCCTCCACAAAGTTTCCTCGCCTTAAAAAAAAAAAAGTGGAATTGTTTTTGTTTTTGTTTTTCTATAAGCCTTATCACTTATAAACTAAGAACTTATAAGTTCTTATCACATGTCCAAGAAAACCCATGTCACTAGACAGAAGCACACAGTAGAAATTCCTAATATTTTTATTGGTGGGGGGAATTCATGCTGAAGGGAGGGAATACCTTCTCCTTGAGGTCCAGGCTACTGAGGTACCTAGAGAGGATCAGAAGAATTCATTATTCTATAACTTGGTATTTCTCCAGTTTTCAATATGTGGAAACCATTCATCCTTTCTATTAATTTTCCTATCCCTCCTTCTTTAAAAAAATTTTGCAAAGAAATAATGTTTTATCTTTGTCAGCAGGATGCATGCTAAGTGCAGTGCTCTGGTCGTAAATGCATAGGAAGTGAAGTGGAAATTGTAGTTTACAGTGTGAAATGGATGGGCACCAGGCTTTTATGTTAATGTAAGCATATCCATAAGTGTAGTTGAGATTGAATTAAGAATATACTGATGACACAGTCTTTACAGGAAGCTTCATCTAAAATACATGGAGCTGTGAAATTACTGGTTGCTAGAACCCAACACCATCAACTAATCTCAGACTTAAGTCATTTGTTTATATCCAATAAACATTCTCACTCAGCTTGTTTAAATCTAATACTTGTTTCTTAGTCTAGATTTTCATTTTAATTTACTCATTATTTTTTAAAAGATTTAAACACTCTAAACAACTTATACCTCCAGAAACATAACTTTACAGAAGAAAGAAAAAGGCAGGTCCAGTTAATCCGTAAGTGAGGTGCTCACCCCCACCCCCCAGCACTCTTTTTATAGAAGACCTCAACCTCTTCATTTGAGAAGTGGTTCCTAGACGTTGCTGAAGTTCAGACACCTCTTTTAGGATCAGTCTGAATACATGATAGACAAATCTTCTATCAAGTTTTTCCCCAGCAGCCAACAATATAAATTCCTGTTCTGGAAGGGGTGTCTAAGAAAATGGAAGGAGAGGAACCAATAATTAAATCAACTTTTTTTTTTTTTTAAGAAAGAGTGAGAGTGAGAGAGAGAATTTTTTAATATTTATTTTTTAGTTCTCAGCGAACACAACATCTTTGTTTGTTTGTGGTGC